GTGATGGAGGAGGCCCCGGAGTCGCCAACAACGGACGACGAGTCCCAGGCAGAGATGGAATCAGTGAGCCACCTCTGCGGCCTTGAAGATCCTCCAGTGGAACATTTGTGGGCTGCAGCGGAAAATTCACTTAGTGATTGAAGCTGCAGTTCAGGATGAGGTTGATGTCTTCCTGTTTCAGGAGACACTCACCGATTTGTCACGTCAAATGCAGCCACGTATTCCGGGATTCTCTGCCTACCTTCAGCGCCTGGAAGGGACTGGCAGGGGCACGGCGATCTACGTCAGGACCACTATCCCTCATTCAATCTCCACTGACCCCATCGACTGTGGGGGAGGGCGTAGAGGTTCAGGCTGTCACCCTACACCTGGCGGTTGGACCTCTCGTGGTTTACAATATTTACAGAAGCTCTCGGTACACCCTTGACATCTCAGAGGTGGCAGCACTCGCCCCACGGGAGGGTCTTGTTGTGGCTGGGGATGTCAATGCCCACCACCCAATACTTTCTTCTGTCTCTCCTACCAACGCAGCTGGGAGGCACCTTGCGGCTGTGCTGGAGGAGGTCCCTGAGATCGCCCTCCTCAATAATGGTGAGCCAACCCATCACTATGGTGGCCGCTTGGATGTCACACTCATCTCTAGGCGGTTGCTCTCGAGCGCGAGATGGGAGGTCCACCCCGTCTCACCAGTGATCACTTTGCAGTGGTCACTACGCTGATGGTCCAGCGGTGCCCGCTCCCCACACCTACCCCCAGATGGAATCTAAAAAAGGCCAACTGGCAGTGCTTCCAGGAGGTCATTGAGCGTTGGTGGGCAGAGTCTCCCCTTCCAGAAGACCCAGATGAGGCGGCTCAAAGCTTGCAGGTGGCCTTCACATGTGCAGCTGAGGCAGCAATACCTAAGATTACAGGCGGAGGGTCATATAAACGTGACTGGTGGTTTTACAATGAGGACATCAGGGAACAGAACCACCGCATCAATGTTGTACGCAAGATGCACAGGCGTAATCCCACGGTTGAGTCCATGCGTCTGCTCAGGGAAGTGGTGCAGCATGCACGCCATGTCTCACACAGGGTCCGGCAAGCTAAATGGTTCGAGTGGTGTGCCTCCTTCAGCTACTCCTCCACCTTATCTGAGATTTGGACCAAGTTACGATTGGCCACTGGGCAGCGTCGCAGTGTGGCTCGGTTGCACCCAGACCCGCAACGGAGGCAGAGCGTCTGGTGGACCTATTCACCTCCAGAGCGGCCATGGCTCAACTGCCTCAGGATCTCCAGGACCTCCAAGCCACCCTCCTTCCTAGAAGGGTGATGGTGATCCAAGCAGCATGCCAGGCTGGGGATGTCACGGATGAAGACTTCACCGACCAGGAGCTCCAGGCAGCCTTCACATCTCATCGAGATACTGCTCCGGGACATGATGGTATCACCTATGGCATGATCCACTCGGTCTGGCCATTCTGGACATTCAGCTGTCCTGGGAGTCATCAACCAGACTTGGCGAGCTGGCAAACTCCCTGTCGTATGGAAGGAGGCTGACATCATACCGATTCCTAAGCCTGGGGATCCTGGCAGTGTGAGACCATCTCCCTCACCAGTTGCATCTCGAAGGTGTCTGAAAGGATGGTGTTGGAAGCGCCTGAGGTGGAAGCTTGGCCCTCCTCATAAACACCTCTATGGCTTCACCAGAGGAGTGGGCACTTTTGAAAGCCTTGCCACTCTACTGACCGGCATTGGGTCGGATGCCCAAGCCCACATTGTTGTCTTTCTTGACCTCGAGAAAGCTTTTGAGCTAGCCAGTGCACCTGCCATCCTCTCACTCTTGGCCCGCAGGGGGATTAAAGGCAGGCTGCTTTCATGGCTTCATTCTATCTCCAGGACAGCGGGCCCGGGTACGCTTCCAGGGGCATGCCTCTTCTCTCAAGACCCTGGACAACAGCACTCCACAGGGCGGGGTGCTTAGTCCCACCCTGTTCAATGTACTGATGCATCAGCTGGTGTGCCTGCCTTTCTCCAGAGGGACCATCCTCCTCAGCTATGCCGATGACCTGGCACTTGTCGTACCTAGGAAGCGCCGGCTTTTGCAGCGTGCCCAGGAGGACCTCGATCTGCTGGCTTCCACCTGCCGTCACTTGGGACTCAAGATATCTGCAGCAAAATCCAAAGCCATGATCCTTCGCACCAAGGTGCCCAGTCAGAGGCTGCGGGTCCTGGGCATCGACCTGGAGTGGGTTCACAGTTATAGGTACCTTGGCATCTACATTGACAGGCACCTCACCTTCCAGAAACATGTGCGCCACATTAAAGAGAGGGCTCTGCAGAGGGTCAGGCATTGAGTGCCATGGCCAACCCTAGGGTTGGGGCCAGCCTCGAGGTCATGAGGTTGTTCTACATCCAGGCAATACGTTCCCTCGTTGACTATGGGGCACTTGCTCTGGTTCACGCCAGACCACAAACATCAAATCCCTCTGTGTCATCCAGAACACAGCTGTACGGGCCATGCTGGGGGCTCCTAGGTGGGCCAATGCAGTGGCTCTGAACCTTGAGGTGCAGCTACAGCCTCTTGAAGACAGGATCCAACTGGTAGCTGCCAGGAGGATTGCAAAGTATCTCCGACTCCCAGGGGCTGACAAACTGATGAGAGATTTACGGGTCCGCCAGGGACAGGTCATTCCACTGCATCCCGGCCGCCGATGGATGTGGTCGGTAGCAGATGCCACACAGAAGCTCTTGCCCATGACATTGTTCCAGGCGGGAGGCTGCGACAGACTGGCAGCGAACTACACTGGTGCCACCCCTTGGGCGCCAGAGCTGTTTGCGGTGAGCTGGACAACCCTACCAGACAGCAAGAGGCATTGCACCTGGGACATTCTGCACCACCTTGCCTTGGCTAGCATTGTGGGTGCGGAAGGCCCAGGGTGTGTGCCATATTACACTGATGGCTCCAGAGACCCAGTGGGCAGGCCGCACAGCTGCTGGGATGTTCCACAGCAATCTGACAGCAGGTTGGCGCCTCCCAGACCATTGCACCATCCTCCAGGCCGAACTCTTTGCCATCCAACAAGCTCTGCGGCATGCTCTTGCAGACCATCAGCATCCCCCCATCATCCACGTTGATTCCAAGGCAGCAATCCAAGTGCTTATGCACAGAGAGCCAAAGGACAACATACACTTAATCACATCCATCCGGGGTGACCTGCAGACTCTCATGGCCCAGGGTCGCATGGGCTACCATCAACTGGATCCGAGCCATGTGGGTATCCTGGCAATGATGCTGCAGATGAGGCTGCTAGGACTGCAACCCTCGAGGCACAGCCACATGCTGCGATCTCCATCAGCCTCAGCCAGATTGCGCTGTTGGCTGCTGGTGCGGCGAGGCGCCCATTCCCTGACCCTGGGGAGTCACGGAGCCTCTGTTGGTATGTCAGGGAGACCCACAGGGTGCCCCCTCCAAGTCTTCGGACACAGTCCAGGGACCTGAGGGTACATATCCACCGCCTACGCTTAGGGTATCCCACCACTGCGCGGATTGTTGAACGGGCATGAGAGGAGCTCTGTGCCCATTGTGACCGAATGGTTCCGCAGCCCTTGGTGCACTACCTGTTAGACTGCCCAGCTACGATGCCCCTTCGCCGTAGACACTTCCCAATGACCCCAGTAGGGCAGACCCGAGAGAATGAGGCAGCACATCTTGTGTACTTAGCTGTCAGGGACTTGGAAACCTTACTTCCAGTCCTTGCATGTCATCCGCCCCCTCGCTGAAGTTGCTGCGAGGGCCTGCTTTGGGCCTCCATTGCACTGCACACCAGCCACTGTTAGTGCACAATAACGTTTGGTACGTCATCTGGCCATAGGGCCGGTGAGGTACCTCCCCCCCTTCCTGCTGAAGACCTGCCGCACAGGTGCAAGTAACGATAAATGTCACTTCCCTACCCGGGGAGCCAATGCCGGTCACCAAAATGGAAGAGACCCGGGCCGGGATTACCGGCGAATCAAATAGAATAGAATAGAATAGAGCATTTCGCAGAGAGGCCTGAGCTTGCTACCATCTGCAGCTCATAAGACTGCCATCCCCACGAGCCCCTTTGAGGCCGGGTAGATGGCAGACCAGTGGCCTAGCTTCTCCCTACGAGCCCCGTGAGGGCGGGGAATGTGGCTAGGCCTGGGGACACTTGGTCCCAAAGATGAGGAGGTACTTGTGCCTCCTCCCATGGGAGACTTAGGTCTCAGACACTCCCTAAAGAGGGAGCCAAGGCCGGGCCACCACTTGGAAAAGGCCCGGGCCGGGAGAATACCGGAGAATCTTTAATAATAATAATAATAAAAAAGAGCATTTCGGGAAAATTAGGTTAATTTTGTCCCAGGATGCGATCCACACCAGTCGGCTAACACCCAGATACCTACTTACTGCTAGGTGAACCGAGACACAAAGTTTCTTAAGGAAACATGCCCAGTGTTTCCATCCGATCTACGGGACACCATTGTAACAGTTGTAACGTTGTTGATGAGTTGACATGGATTCTGTTCACTAGTACATTTCCCACGTCCTGGTACCGAACCTGGTGACCAGTACTGTGGGTGCTCGTGGCTCAGTTGGTAGCGTCCTCAGCTCACATACTGAGCCCGGGGTCGACCCCCGGCTCTGGTGGAAACGTTGGGCATAGTACCTTACACCTACTGTCCCTGTTCACATAGCAGTAAGTAGGTACCTGGATGTTAGGCACCTTACACTTGCTGTCCCTGTTCACTTAACAGTAAGTAGGTACCTGGGTTTTAGTCACCTTACACCTGTTTTAGTCTCCACCTGCTTCCACTGTTTCATATTTATTTATCTGAACAATGCCAAGATCCTCAGCAATTTCTCCACGGTTTATAAAGGCTAGGAAAAAAAAGCATAAATCTTCAAGATATTTGTATTTTATAATTGCTAACTTTATTAGTGTACATGAGAGTCCAAACACATAGGTGACAATAATATAATATAATAATGGTACTGGAGTCTATTCCTCTATAACGGAATGCATTTCTGTGTACTTGAATGCATTCCTGAGTACCAGGATATTCAATGGAGAACTTGTAAACATTCGAATTTATCTGAATGCTTTTGAATGTACAGGAGTTTATTGAAAAGTACCGCGACGCATTCTGGATGCGATCGAGGGAATCGGAAACCTTTAGAGCGCATCCCCTCAAGGAAGGTTCCTTGATGTTGGTGAGGGGCTCTTGATTTAGGGAATTGGATCTGTGCTCCAGTTCCCCGAATTAAGCCTGAATGCCTTCCACATCCCCCCCAGGCGCTGTATAATCCTCCGGGTTTAGCGCTTCCCCTTGATTATAATAATAATAATTTAGAGCGCATCGGAATGCCTTCAAATACAACCAGAGCACATTAAAACATACCAGAATACATCCGAACGTATCGGGATGATTTCGGAAAGGCCTGGACTCAGCCGAAGCAGGCTGACGTGACGCTGGAGGCGAAACATTGTACGCTGATGGTTACGGTGCTGTTGCTCATGAAGGAAGTGTAAGTATGGATGCGGTTAGTGATTTGAGTGGTCAAGACTGTGATCGTCCGGCCATCCCGAGCACCGTCATCCCCAGCCACCACCCTCCTCTTGCTTACCACTGAAGCGTCCAATTCTTCCTGGTGTTCCCAACTCCCTATCAGGGAGGTCGACAACGAGGTTCCCTCTGTGAGGTCTCTGTGTTTGAGAGAGACAACAGTGGCTATAATACAATCCATTTCAAGGACAGGTGATCACACACCCATAACTTAAGTAATAAAGATTAAAGTGGATAAATATTGAGTATTGATTACAATTATTTAACTGTAATTAACATTTAAGCTAAATGAGCTGATAATTATTTACACACAGCACACACACACACACACACACACACACACACACACACACACACACAACACACACACAACACACACAACACACACACAACTACAACAATAATAATATATATATATATATATATATATATATATATATATATATATAATTTATTTATATGTATTCTACAATGAATATTAATACTCTGAGAGGAAATACTGAGACAACATAACTGGTGTTACCCTGAGAGCTGGTGTTACCCTGAGAGCTGGTGTTACCCTGAGAGCTGGTGTTACCCTGACAGCTGGTGTTACCCTGACAGCTGGTATTACTCTGACAGCTGGTGTTACTCTGACAGCTGGTGTTACCCTGAGAACTGGTGTTACCCGGAGAGCTGGTGGTGCTACCCTGACAGCTGGTGTTACCCTGAGAGCTGGTGCTACCCTGAGAGGTGGTACTACACTGAGAGGTGGTGCTAAACTGAGAGGTGGTGCTACACTGAGAGCTGGTGCTACCCTGAGAGGTGGTACTACACTGAGAGCTGGTGCTACCCTGAGAGGTGGTGCTACACTGAGAGCTGGTGCTACACTGAGAGCTGGTGCTACCCTGAGAGGTGGTGCTACACTGAGAGCTGGTGCTACACTGAGAGGTGGTGCTAAACTGAGAGGTGGTGCTACGCTGAGAGGTGGTGCTACACTGAGAGGTGGTGCTACACTGAGAGGTGGTGCTACACTGAGAGGTGGTGCTACGCTGAGAGCTGGTGCTACACTGAGAGGTGGTGCTACACTGAGAGGTGGTGCTACACTGAGAGGTGGTGCTACACTGAGAGCTGGTGCTACACTGAGAGCTGGTGCTACATTGAGAGGTGGTGCTACACTGAGAGGTGGTGCTAAACTGAGAGGTGGTGCTACACTGAGAGGTGGTGCTACACTGAGAGGTGGTGCTACACTGAGAGGTGGTGCTACACTGAGAGTGGTGCTACACTGAGAGGTGGTGCTACACTGAGAGGTGGTGCTACACTGAGAGGTGGTGCTACACTGAGAGGTGGTGCTAAACTAAGAGGTGGTGCTACACTGAGAGGTGGTGCTAACTAAGAGGTGGTGCTACACTGAGAGGTGGTGCTACACTGAGAGGTGGTGCTAACTGAGAGGTGGTGCTAACTGAGAGTGGTGCTACACTGAGAGCTGGTGCTACACTGAGAGTGGTCTTGGTGCTACACTGAGAGGTGGTGCTACACTGAGAGGTGGTGCTACACTGAGAGGTGGTGCTACACTGAGAGGTGGTGCTACACTGAGAGGTGGTGCTACACTGAGAGGTGGTGCTACACTGAGAGTGGTGCTACCTAGGAGGCTGGTGCTAATTAAGGGCCCAAGGCACAATACTGTGATGGACATACACGAAGGGCGCACACAGGAGGTGGCACACAGAGTTATGAGACGTTTCGGTCCGTCTGTACTATTAAGTGCACACTAACCACACGAAGGTGAGGGAGCCAGATAGGTTAGAATGAAGGGGGACACGGAGAGGGTTAGAGAGAGGAAGATAAATAGGAAGTGTGTTAAGGGAAAGCCTATGTAGTGGAAAGTAGATAGTAGTAGAGTTATGTAGTAGTTATGGTCCGGTATATGTACAGAAGTAACAGCAGTAGTGAGAAGTAGTATAGAATAGAGGTAGTAGAATAGAAGATGAGCATATGAGTAGTAGTAGAGTAGTAGTAGTATATAGTAGGTAGTAGTAAGTAGTACAGTAGTGGGGGTGGGTGTAGTGGTATGTTTCACAAGATATAGAAATGGTAGTGAAGAGAGACAATAGTAGCAGTAGTACTGTAGTAGTTTTTAAGTCTTGGACAGACCATAGATGCCAAATAAAATTTCAGCTATTAGTGACAGTCCTGGTTTGAACTGTTCCAGCCAAATATTGTGACGTTATTTTTTATTTTGCGATGTAACGAAGATGGTAGAAAGTAAAATAAGGCCACACGAAGAACGTAGCTCCTGATATGCTCCAGGTCAGGGTAAGGTCAGGTAAGGTCAGGGTCAAGGTCAGGGGTCAAGGTCAGGGGTCAAGGTCAGGGGTCAAGGTCAGGGGTCAAGGTCAGGGGTCAAGGTCAGGGGTCAAGGTCAGGGGTCAAGGTCAGGGGTCAAGGTCAGGGGTCAAGGTCAGGGGGTCAAGGGTAGGCTCTGGGTTACACTTTAGTGCAAAGTAAGACGGTAATTAACCCTTGAATATGATAACCTATTCACCGTTGTAATACTTCTGTCGTGTGTCTTATATGCTGGAAAATAGGGTACTTCAGCATATTTTTAAATAACTTACTGTTGCTTTGTGCGCTGCTGTCTCCTCTTTTGTCTTGGGCAGGTCGCAGCTACCGGGGTGTAGCAGGTTGAAGGGATGGAGATTGTGGTGGTTCCCAGAGTTCTTACTGACGTGATGGTCCTAAAGACGAAGATCTTGCCTTCTCGCGGCGTCTCTTCGGGTTCTCCATCCGCCTGCGTCGCCAGCGAGAGTTCCTTCGGGTGCCAGAGACTCTCACCAGGATCTGAAGCCGTCAACACTGCTGTCAGTACCAGGAGGCCGGTCACCAACACCCCAACTATCATCATCTATAACAAACAACCCATCACAGCTGTGTGGTAAGAGACCTATTATTTACACTTATAACACAGAGCTTATGTCTTCCATTACAACTCTGAACTTGTAGTAAAAAGACATACAGCTTTAATAGTGCGATGTTTCGCCGACGTGAGGCTTTATAATATGGTAGCTGAGTAAGAAACTTTGTAATAGTAATGTATCTTAATTTCCGAAACGAGAGGTAAAAATGATGTGCTCAGTCCCTCAGCCTTCAAGTAGTTTCGAGGCAGTGAGTCCCTCAGCCTTGAGAAATGTTGCTGTATAGCCCTTGTGGCTTAGCGCTTCTTTTTTTATTATAATAATAATGATTGAGAAATGTTCAACTCCGTAGTCTTCACCAGCTGTTGTTCTGAGGTGCTCAGTCTCTCACTCTTGAGAAAAGTTCAGCTCCACAGTCTTGAACAATTATTAAATTGTTCACCTTGATCAAGACAAGGAGCATTTCTCAAGGCTGAATTACTTATCACTCCAAAAGTACTTTTTCAAAATTAATGGACTGATCACATACTTTTTACCTCTCCGCTGCTTCAGATTCTTCAAGACTACGGTGGTCATCACCTGCTCCTAGGCTGAGGGACTGATTACCTCATCTGCCACTGTCTGCTGGATGGTGAAACGTCTACAAGTCATTGTATGGTGAAACGTCTACAAGTAAAGATACCCAGATGTCGCACTTGTCTAATATATCATCTTGTTAATATTGAATACTACTGATATTAGTCTCTAGGAGTCTACTGAGTAGGATAAACCGTTTACAATGTTACCAAAGTGTTGCACAAACGTTCTTTGTGAAGTGTTCTTTGTGAAGTGTTCTTTGTGAAGTGTTCTTTGTGAAGTGTTCAAAAGTCTTCAACATCACTTGACGCTGCTGACGAATAATGCAACACTTTTTTTTCCACCTAATTTTATTTTTCATCAAAGAATTCTATATTTCATTTGTTTCAACATTACTACTGAAAGTGAATAAATGATTTAGAAAAGCAACAAGTTGAGAAATGATTCAACTGGGTAACATTTCAATAAGCTTTCAATAGGAGTATCTTCATTCTGGAAACGTTTCGCCAGCCAGTGGCTTTTTCAGTCCAATACAGAGAAAAGTGGAAGATAAGGAGGAGTCTGGTGGACTAAACATCGACTCCAGGCTGAGGGACTGATTACCTCAAACTCCTCCTCGTGTTCCACCTTTCTCTGCAGTGGCTGGCGAAACGTTTCCAGAATGAAGATACCTAAATTGAGGTTCTTTAAATTTAAAATTACCCGTGAATGCAATACTCAATACTGGTGGTTAACGTGGATTATTACTTACTAATTTACGAATATTAGATCTACAGTAAAAAAAAAAATATCTTATACTCATGGAAAGTGTTTTGTTTTACTTCCCTGAGAGTTAAAACTGAGTGGGTCCCAGCACCCACCTTGACGTGCCGAGTGAGGAACAACACTAACACCAGTAGCAGCCTCTTATATACCGTCGGGAGAACCTCAGATACTCTTATATACAGCTAAATTTTCTGAGTTCTCCACTCAGGTGAATGAACCTCTATGTGAACCCTCTGGCTAAAGGGAAAACACGTAAAAATATTCATTAGTGTCACTGAGCATCGACTCACAGCCTTCTTTTCATCAACATAAATTTGATCTATCTCTATTTCGTCCGTATTTCTCGTATGATATTTACCCAAAAATATGTTTAATTGGCCTGAGTCTCAAACGCATAAGCAGGAAAATAAATAATATATAGCAGTACAGTAAGTTATTACCACAAAATTTTCGTTTATGCTACAAAAGTCAACGTTTTGTGAGGTGTCACCCGGCAAACCCACCACCATTGTTATGTACCTAGTAATTTTCTTGACCTGGCCACACACAGGTACGAGGATCGTCCTGTTATGACCTGGCCACACACAGGTACGAGGATCGTCCCTGTTATGACCTGGTTAAACACAGGTACGTAGGATCGTCCTGTTATGACCTGGCCACACACAGGTACGAGGATCGTCCTGTTATGACCTGGTTAAACACAGGTACGAGGATCGTCCTGTTATGACCTGGCCACACACAGGTACGAGGATCGTCCTGTTATGACCTGGTTAAACACAGGTACGAGGATCGTCCTGTTATGACCTGGCCACACACAGGTACGAGGATCGTCCTGTATGACCTGGTTAAACACAGGTACGAGGATCGTCCTGTTATGACCTGGCCACACACAGGTACGAGGATCGTCCTGTTATGACCTGGCTAAACACAGGTACGAGGGTCGTCCTGTTATGACCTGGCCACACACAGGTACGAGGATCGTCCTGTTATGACCTGGCACACACAGGTCGAGGGTCGTCCTGTTATGACCTGGCCACACCAGGTACGAGGGTCGTCCTGTTATGACCTGGCTACACACAGGTACGAGGGTCGTCCTGTTATGACCTGGCCACACACAGGTACGAGAGCCGTTCTGTTATGACCTGGTTAAACACAGGTACGAGGGTCGTCCTGCTATGGCCTGACCACACACAGGCACGACGCTTTCCTGGGATCTGTCTGTTAGCTACGTCAAAGGGCCATTGGTTCATACAGGTGGTGGGAAGTGTGGTGGGAAGTGTGGTGGGAAGTGTGGTGGGAAGTGTGGTGGGAAGTGTGGTGGGAAGTGTGGTGGGAAGTGTGGTGGGAAGTGTGGTGGAAAGTGTGGTGGAAAGTGTGGTGGGAAGTGTGGTGGGAAGTGTGGTGGGAAGTGTGGTGGAAAGTGTGGTGGGAAGTGTGGTGGGAAGTGTAGTGGAAAGTGTGGTAAAGTGTTAAAGGTTCACAGACTTCCATTTTACACTCTTTAAGAACCCTTGAATAAAGTTCATCAGGGTCCGGGGATTTATTTTGCTTTAATCGGTCTATCTGTTTGATAACCATTTCACTAGTGACTGTGATATTGCATAATTTATCATCTTCAAGCCCACTATAAAAATTAATTACTGGGATATTGTCATTGTCTTCCTGAGTGAAAACCGAGAGAAAATAATTATTAAGTATAGAGCACATTTCATTCTCCTTGTCAGTGAGATGCCCAGAGTTATTTTTAAGGGGACCTATCTTATCTCTAACTTCTGTTCTATAAACCTGGAAAAAACTTTTTGGGTTAGTTTTTGAATCCCTAGCAACTTTAATTTCATAGTCCCGTTTAGCTTTTCTTATCCCCTTTTTAACGTCCCTCTTAATGTCAATATACTGATTCATAAGATGACCCTCACCTCTTTTGATACGCCTATAAATTCCTTTTTTCTGTCCTAAAAGATATTTGAGCCTATTATTAATCCATTTGGGGTCATTTCTATTCAATCTAATTTCCTCACATGGGATAAATGTCCTTTGGGCAGCATGTATTGTGTTAAGAAAGCTGTCATACTGATAGCTCTCTTCATTACTCCAGTCTACAGATGATAAGTGTTCTCTAAGCCCATTGTAATCTGCTAAGCGAAAATCTGGGACCAGTACTGAATTATCCCTACTATCATACTTCCATTCAATGCTAAAGGTGATTTGTGATCGCTTGTGCCGAGTTCCTCTGTAATTTCTAAATTATTTACGAGGGTTTCCTTGTTTGCCAAAACCAAGTCAATCAGGTTATTTCCCCTTGTAGGCTCTGTGACAAACTGCTTCAAAAAACAATCCTGAACTATTTCTAAGAAGTCGTTTGATTCTAGATTCCCAGTCAAGAAATTCCAATCAATATGACTAAAGTTAAAGTCTCCTAGAATTACTACGTTATCGTGCCTAGTGGCCTTAACAATTTCCTCCCATAGTAGTCTCCCTTGGTCCCTATCTAAGTTTGGGGGACGGTATATTACACCTAAAATCAATTCTTAAGTCCCTCTGAAAATTCTATCCAGACTCTGTATGTGTTACTTCAGACTTAATACCCGTTTTATGCAACAGTTCAAGCGATCTCGGACATACAGTGCCACCCCACCCCCCTTCCCGATACTTCTGTCTACTTGGAACAATTTAAAACCCTGAATGTGACATTCTGCAGGCATGTCTCGACTTTTTGAATTAAACCACTTCTCAGTGATTGCAAATACATCAATAATACCTGCCCCTGCAACTAATCTCAACTCGTTCATCTTATTCCTAGTACTAGGGGTATTTGCATAAGGGGAAACTTTTAAAATGACCCTACTTTCTCTTTACCCTTCCTGCTCATTTCATTTTTTTCCCCAAAACCCTATTTTGCCCCTTTATCACCAAAGTGTCCCCGATTTTCCCAATATCCCCTCTTTTTGCCTATTACTAGTTCCCTAGAACTCATAGAAATTACTAAAACGGGGACTTCACTGTGTTCTCGTAAAAAAACCCATACCCAATCTATTCTAGTTTAAAAAAAACCTAACAGCTCTCTCCACTGCCCGTTGCCATTGCACCCACCCCAGACCTGAAAAGGGAAAACCCCATCCCGGCATACATGTTTTTTTTCTGCCATAGAAGAGGTCCCATTTTGTCAACGAATGTTACGGGCTTTTTTCCTTTACAGTATTTGCCAGCCAGCAATTGACACCAATTTCCCGGACAATCATTCGTTTTCCAACTCCTCTCCTTTTGGGAAAATTCCAAAATATAGTTTGTGGGATGGGTTTTGGCAGGTAACCGTGAAATCCCCGGGGTTTTTAAAAATTTGGTTTTTTAAGGGGGAAATTTGTAATAAGCAGGCCCAGGTAGCTAATTTAAAAAAACCGTGACCCCTAGGAATAAAGGGCAGTAATAGGTTTAAAAAGAAAAAACAGAAAAAGACAGGGAAGGGGAAAGAGAAAGGAGAGTCCTTTTAATGAAATTATCTAATAGCCGTAGTGCTGGAAAAGATGGGCGGTTGGGATTAAAGCTATGCCGAAAAATTGATGTATTTGCCTTAACTGAGACCCTGTTTAATTCAAAAAGCCCGGGCCCTTCCTTCGGGAAAGTCCCCTTTCCCAAGGTTTTTAAAAAA